AACATTCAGCTTTCATATGCATCTTTTGGATTAATTCTATATATTACAGTTTTCGAGAAAATCAATGAAATGTATAAACTCTGCTTTTTCGAGCATTTTTTAAACTTTGAACACGAATTACAGCCAAACGGCTAAAACCACAGTAATATATCGATACTTATATTTATTTTTTACCTTAAACTCGTTGATATCGTACCAAATTTGTTTGGAATCGAATCTTTTGCACACCAATCTAGCCTTTCCTTGTATGATAATCGTGGTCATGAGGATGGTAACAGAAATCCAGTACAAAGAAGTGAATGCCAAGCTCACATCTAAAACTCTACTCAAATTAATTAGCAATAATATAAATAATCAATTAAACACTTACTGATCATTGCTGTAGTAAAGGATGTAAGCATGACTCAAGCAAACGCCTTTTGGTAACCCCGTGGTTCCGCTGCTGAAGAGAATCAAAGCCGTTTCATCCAAGCTATCAGGAATGAAAGGTTGAAACTCTTCTTCGTCCTTTTTCGGTTCCACGAATTCGCCGAAATCCCTTTCAAAAACAATTATTTGCGTGCTCAGCTTAGACTCATTCACTACTTTACGAATTGTCGCTTCGCTCTTTTCATCAACAAATATCAACTTGAGATCGACTTCATTAACTAAATGCTTGATATCTTCTTCGGATAGAGCCGGATCCAATGCAGCCAAATGGGCTCCCACGAAAGCTGCAGAAATCAGCGGAAGATGACTGTTCATATGGTTGTGCGAGCAAACACTGACAACGTCTTTGGGCTTAATCCCTCTGCTCTTCATCTCAATGGCAGTTCGCAAACTTCTCTCGAAAAACGAAGAGTAATAATCCAATTCACCTGTTTCCCCATTGATCTATAAAAGTACACGTAAACTAATTGATTTACGTGAATTATATAAAACTTACCTGAGCGACATTTTTTGAGTGTTTTTTCATGGATTCGAAAAGCAGGTGTCCGAGGCCCTTCGGATGCGGCACGAACGGATTGTCCGGTGTCGAGATGATCTTCGTGGACTCATCGTAAGTCCAATCAGGAATTAATTTTACTGCAATTAGATTAAAACATTGTAAATTACATAACTATTTTTATATATATTTATATTCAATTACTATGTTCCATGATTATGCTCGATCATCAATGCGACAATACTGACTTTATCGCCAAAAACGTTTATTACGTTATATAATCGATCACATCTCATAGTAGATTAGCTTATTTTGATCAGTATTGAACTTGGCACCTTTTTGTCATGTAATCTCTGATTGATTAATTTTGTTGATCTATTTCAGGTACTCAAATTCGCAATGTTTATGTAGACATGTACGCATTTAGTTATGGAAATAATATACAATTTTATAGAAAATAGCTTGTCTTTATTAACATAAATTACATTGGTTAATTGATGTTAACTATGTCTGCAAGATAATTTGCAAATAAATATTAGTAGAATCATGTATATGCTAATGGTATATATCATTTTTGACGAACTTCTCTTTGAGGCACCGTCTGCTCACTTTTCCTGACACTGTAAACGGCATTTCTTCGATGATCTCCACTCCGGCCCTCAATTTCAAGTTCTCCTCCACCTGCCCATTAACGTATTCCTCGATCTCTTGCGCTGTAATCGTGCTTCCTTTTACAAGGACAACGACGGCCATCGCATGGTTCTCATCCCTGAAGTTCGGGACTCCGATGACCGTCGCTACTTGAATTTGCGGATGGTTCTGAAGAATTGCTTCGACCTTGGCTGGAACGTAATGCATTCCTCGGAATTTGAACATTTCTTTGACGCGATCCACGATGTACAAGCAAAAGTTCTCATCGAAATACGCGACGTCGCCGGTTTTCAAAAACCCGTCTTTGTCGAAAACCTCGGAATTGTCGCGGTTAAGGTAACCGTTCATCGTCCATTGGCTCTTAACTCTGAGTTCACCCTTTTGGGTCAAAGCAAGAGCTTCCTCAGTTTCAGGATCTACGATCTGAAATTTCAACAATTAATGGATTTTTTTTTTCTTAAATTTTTAAATTAAAACCTTGTAGTGCATTCCACGCGTTGGAACCCCAATCGACGTGGGGTTATCTTTGATGAGAGCGTGCAGAGGATTTCCAATTACCGATAATTCAGTTTGTCCGTAAACGTAACAAATTAAAGTGTTCGGCATTGCTTTCCTGATTGTATCGAGGAATTCAGCGGTTGCTTGATGTCCGGCCATGATCATGAAAGACAAGCTACTCACTAAACCTTCTGGTTTGGCGTCGTACAATCGTACTGTCTGATAAGGCGTCACGAATAAATAATTAACTTTGTACTTTTCAATGTAAATCCACGTTTTATCCTCTTTAAATCCATCGCAGATTAGTCTAGTTGTACCGTTAATAGTCGATCCCGCCATAATTATCGTTATGGAGATGTAATAGAGCGAAGCATAAGCTAAAGTCATTTCGAAATTGCTGTAAAATTGCATGAAATTAGCAACAAATTTGTTTACAACCGATGCAATAACTTACCAATTTCTGCTAAAAAACAATATGTATTTGTGGCTGAGGCAAATGCCCTTCGGCATTCCGGTTGTGCCGCTGCTGAATAGAACTACGGCCGTTTCTGAAATATCTTCAGGTTCGTAAGGCGCGAACTTATCTTCATCCGGTTTGGGCTTCAAGAATTCTTCAAAATCTGTATCGAAGCAAACGACAATAGTATCCAATTCCAATTCCTTCAAGATCTCCTTAATAACACTCTCGCTTCCCTCGTCCACGAAAATCAAAACTGGTTTACTGTCGTTAATCAAATATTTCTTGTCCACCAAAGAAAGACCTGGATCTATTGCGGCCAATTGCGTCCCAACAAAAGCAGAAGCGACGTAAGGGATGTAACTGTTCAGATGATTCCTGGAGCAAGAGCTGATGAAATCCCTCGCTTTCACGCCGCGATTCTTCATCTCCAAAGAAACCCTCACGCATCTCTGCAGGAATTCCGAGTACAAATCTTCTTGACCGGTAGCAGCGTCGATCTAAAAAAAAGAAAATTTTACTGTTTAAACTATATTTGAGAATTAAAAAAAAATAATATTACCTGAGCCACTTTGTTCAAGTTATTTTTCATACCCTCGAACATCGCGTAACCCAATCCCCTCGGATTCGGTGTGAAATCCTCTTCGGGCATTGTGATCACTTTGGTGGATTCATCGTAGCTCCACTCCTCTTTCTCAATGAAATCCAGTACATCGATTTCAGCCATTTCGAATATTTGCAATAAATTCGTTACGATTGTTACCGCAGTTTATATAGTACCAAAGTTTTGCACAAACATTGATTGCGAGAGATAAATGAATTCTTAATAACTACGTGATATATTTTTTTTAAATGCAATAATGAAATTGATAAAGCGGCGAAAAAAATTGCGTTTATTTCCTTAAAACAAAACTAATGATAATTATTATTAATAGATTTATCTGGGATAATAAAATTCTAATCGAAATTTTCAATAAACAAGTTAATTTATTATAATTGAAACTAATATAAACATACATTTCTCATATCAAGAAAGGAAACACTTTATATTACGATTAGAACTATAGCTCACTCACAATACACAAGGATTGCCGAAAACGTATAATAATGTAAACAAGAATCATGCTCAAATGAAACGTAACTTTTGATAAAAGTATTTACTTTCATCACGTATAATTTGCATTACAATAGATTTACGCTCAACGCTCCGAATGTTATTGAATTTACATGTTGAGATAAACTTCGTGCTAGTTAAAAATTAACCACATTTTATTCATTTGATTTTGCAAGTTTTGCCTTATTCATTTCACTTCTTCTCTCCGTTTCTGTTCAAAGATTTGTTGTGTCCAACCACTTTATTATTAATTATTGATATGCATATATAAGTACTTTATGTACTCTTTATCTATGTAAATACAGTCTTATGGAAAGTTCCAACGAACATCAAATAAGCCTACATCTGCATAGGACAATAGAACCTGTTGAAGAAACGCTCTGTTTCTCATATTTTGTTAGTTTACATATGTCACTAACTTAAGTGGAAATCGGGCAATTAACTATACAAACTATAGACAAATCACAGTTAGTCCTAGTACCCATGAGAGTCTTAGGAAGAACCTAGTCCTAGTAACAGTTCTAGTTTGATACTACTCTTGACCAGCAACCTATGCTTGTAACAACTGGAAGCTAGATTAAGAATCACCAGCATCTAAATGTTAAATAAATACTACTATTACACTGACTTTAATCTAGACTCTTCCATAAAACCCACTAGGACTCCACATCGACAATACTACAAAGTATTCCACAGTGTCCAGAGATATTCCATCCTAGGACACGACATATTATTTATATTAGTATACAGAAAATCAAACAGTTTCTTTCTAAGAACTATATTATTTTACTCTTTCTGAACACTTCAATTTAATGTAGCTTGGTTATTAATAATTAACATATAATATAATAGTTAAAAATAAATTAAATAGATTTCTCAGAATACAGATTTTAAAAATATTAATTTCTACTTGGAAATAATACTTTATGATGCAAAAAGATAATTTCAATCTTTATCTGCCTTGATTTAAGTATATATTAATGATTTGCTTTTAGTTTGTGTACACTAGATAAGAACGAGACAGCGGATAATAGTTATTGTAATAAGATCAAAAAATCTTGATAGAAATCGCAGATTAGATCTGTTTTAACTTTATTCAATCTTAATTACTTGCATATTTACACATGATTCGTTATCGGATGTTTGAATATTTCATATGTTCATTCTTTCAAAATCAAAATATTTTGCATATTTTATCATTTTCTATATTATAATAAGTCGTTATTACAACTAAAGTTAAATAAATTATACGTGAAATTAAATATTATTAATTATTATATGTTTTATATTCCGCTCGTAAATATTCTAAAACAAATTTCAAAGTCGGAAATCGGAATAAAGCTATCAGAATGTTGACCTTCTCTGATATAGTTATTTAAGTAATTTCAATTAATAAATGTTGTTTTTGCTGAACATCTGTTTGAGTAATCGCCTGTTTATTTTGCTCGACGGTGTTATTGGCATCGTGTCGATGATCTCGACTCCAGCTCTTATCCACCACTTCTCATCCACTCTTGTATTCGCGAACTCCTCGATCTCTTTCGGCGTCAGTTTACTGTCCTTCTTGAGGACGACGACGGCCAAAGCTCTGTTCTCGTCCTCGAAATGCGGAACACCGATGACGACGGCCATCGAGATGTCCGGATGACCTTGCAGCACCTTCTCCACTTTGGCTGGGACGTAATGCATGCCTTTGTACTTGAACATCTCTTTGACGCGATCCACGATGAACAAGCAAAAATCGTCATCGAAATATCCAACGTCGCCAGTCTTCAGAAAACCGTCCTCATCCCATGCGTCAGTGCTATCTCTGTTGAGATAACCGTTCATGCACCATTTGCTCTTCACGCGAATCTCTCCGGGTTTGTTCAACCCTAAACATTCGTCTGTTTCCGGATCAACTATCTAAAATTTTGTAAACGTAATTAACAATTAATTGATGAAGAAGTTTGCATTTTTTTTTACCTTGTAGCTGCAACCGATGAAAGGAATTCCAACGGATTTCAGTTTATTCTTGATGAGCGGTGTTCTGGCATTGCACATGCCGATCAGCTCCGTTTGGCCGTAAGTGAACCATATCTTTGTATTCGGCATCGCTCTGTGCAATTCCTTCATAAATTCTTCCGTCATTTGATTACCGCCGATCAAAAAAGTCGGTAAACTTGTGACAAAGTTTTTGGGCAACGTTTCCATCAATTTAATGGACAAGTACGGAGTTTGCTGCATCATCGTCACCTAAACAACACCAATTAGTATTATAAAAAGAAATATATGATTGAAACTAAATTAAAAATACCTTATATTTTTCGATATATCCCCAAACCTTTTCCGGCTCGTAATCTTTGCAAACGAGTCGAGTCTTTCCGTTCATTACCAAGGCAGGTAAGGCAATTGTCAAGGAAATCCAATAAAGAGTGGCGAAATTTAGAAAAACATCTGTTAACCTAGTAAATATATCATTTTCCAATTAATTAAATTAGGATCTATGTTTTGAAAACAAACATTTCATTAAAACTTGTTTCGCAATTTGGAAAACTTACATTCCTTGGCTGTGGTACATGATGTAATTGTGACTGAGGCAAATCCCTTTTGGCATTCCGGTGGTTCCGCTGCTGAAGAGAATCACGGCCGTCTTGCTGTTACACTCCGGAACGTAACACTCGAAATTGTCCTCGCCTTGCTTAGGTTGCAGAAACAATTTGAAATCCTTCTCGAAAACGACCACTTTAACGCACAGATTTTTCTCGGCGATGATCTTCCTTATGATCTCTTCGCACTCCATCTCGACGAAGATAATCTTTGGTTTGCAATCGTTTAACAAGAAAGTCATGTCCGTGGCGGAGAGACTCGGGTCGAGCGATGCCAGGATGCTTCCGATGAAGGAGGAAGCGATGTAAGGGATGGAACTGTCCAGAGTATTCCTGGCGCAGATGCTTACGTAATCTCCAACGCCGATTCCCAAATTCTTCATCTCCAGAGCGGTTCTGATGGAGCGTTGCAGGAACGAAGAATACAGATCTTCCTTTCCGGTGACGGCATCGATTTGTGCTACGTTATTCGAGTACTTCTTCATGCCCTCGTACATGGCGTAACCCAAACCCTTTGGATGCGTCTTGTGATCATCTTCAGGCATCGAGATGACCTTCGTCTTTTCATCGTAACTCCACATTATTTCTATTTGCAAATCAAAAAAAAAAACAACAAATAAAACTAAATAAATTATAGGTTTCGGAAGACTTACCAGAAGCCATATTTGTTGTGTTAATATGCGAAGCAACGAGACACTGAGAGTATTTATACTTAACAGGAGGTGATAAGGCGCGATTACGCTGAAAAATCTTGGAGTCACCATAATAATAATAAAAAAAAAGACAATGGTCATGAGTGTAAATATACTTAATATTAGATAAATCAACAAATACAAAATTTTCAAGTCATCGAGGACACGATATAATAGTTTTAGATAAAAAAAACTAAACAATTAGTTGCGTAATCTCAAATTGCGTTCATTTCGTCCAGAATAGTGCGTTTCAGTTCGATCCTCCTGATCTTCCCGGTCGGAGTGTACGGCAATTCTTTCACCAGCTTGACGCCGCCTCGCAACATCCATCTGTCCTCCACTTTGGAGTTAACGAATTCCTTCAGTTCTTCCGCAGAGACCATTTCGCCGTCCTTCAAGATGCAAACAGCCATTGCGTGATTCTCATCCCTCGGATGAGGAATTCCAATTACGACGGCGCTTCTCACTTTCGGATGCTGCAACATAATAGACTCGAGCTTCGTCGGAGTGATGTGCCATCCTTGGTACTTGAACATCTCCTTGACTCTGTCCACCACGAAGAAACATAAATCTTCGTTGTAGTAGCACATGTCTCCAGTTTTTATGTACCCGTCTTCGTCGTAAACATCGGAGCAATCTCTGTTGTGGTAACCGTTCATCCTGTGCACAGTCTGCACGCGCATCTCCCCAATCTGATTCGGTCCAAGCACGTGGCCCGTGTCTGGATCCACCACTTTCACCGAGTATCCGCAAGCCGGAGAGCCGACGGAATTCGGATACTTCTTGCTAAGTTCCACGTGTTCCCGGATCCGCGGATCGAAATAACACATTATACCAACTTCAGACTGTCCGTACATAAAAGTTACAGTTGCTTTTGGGAATGTTTCCTTTAACTTGAGCAGATTTTCCATGCTCATCGTCGATCCACCGAAGGGAATGTTCTCCAAGCTGGACACGTCGCAGTCGACCTTCGTTTCAATCAACTTTATACCAAGAATCGGAGACGGCAGCATGCAAGTTATCTACAAATCAAACGAAGGTAAATATAATATTTCAAACACATTTTGAACAGCAAAAATGATTATCCAAAACAAGATAAACAGATTTTGCTTATTGAAATTACGAATAAAGTAGCTGAGTAATTCAATGCTGATTAAATCATTTTGTAAATATTATTTTAATTTCCATTAGATAACTTACTCTATGTTTCTCAATAGATTTCCAGACTGCGATAGCGTTGAATTCTTTGCATATAGCTCTGCATTCACCTTTCAATATACATTTGATAATTAGCAAAGCAGATGATATCCAGTAAACTGTGGCGAAACTCAGCGTGACTTTGGTGTTTGCGAATCCGCTGAAAACCAGTAATATTATTATTATTATCATTACAGATATAAACAAAATTCTTATTTTAATTAACAACTTCAGTTGATGTACATCATCGAGTATAAAAATTCAAGTTTCAAACACTTACAGATATGTGTTCGATTGGTGTATCAAGGCCGAATGATTTGCGCAAATACCTTTCGGCAGACCCGTCGTTCCGGAACTGAAGAATATGATGGCCGTATCCTTTTCATTCTTCGCGCAAGGTTCGAACCCTTGCACGTCCGATGCGGACTTCCAGAACGACTCGAACGACTGTAAATTACCGACGCTCCTTCCGAAGACGACGATTCTCGCTCCATTTCCAGTATTCTCGAGAGCAGCGGTGATTTTCTGTTCCGACGATTCGCTGATGAACACGAATTTCGGTCGGACGTCATTTAAAAGATGTTCGCAATCCTCTTGAGATAAACTCGGATCAAGACATCCGATTATACCGCCAACGAATAGCGTCGCAATGTACGGAACTATGACGTCGAGATTGTTTTCCGAGCAGAAGCTTACGATATCGTTCGGTTTCAAACCGACTTCCATCAATTTTTGCGCTGTTTTTATCGATTTCTCAAGAATTTCTGAATACATTTCTCGCTCTCCCGTGTCTATATCGATCTGCGGACAACGAAAGTTTTACTTGAACAGTACTCTTTGTGAAGATTCGAATTACCTGAGCTAGTTTGGATTGATGGAGTTTAAGGGCCTCGAAGAAAGCGCATCCTAAGCCGTTTCTGTTGAAGACGAGTTTCACGTCGTCTTTTGTGAAAACCTTACTTATCGGATCGTACTCTGAAATAAATTGAATAGCAATAATTATTATTTACTAGAATATTTTTAATTTGCAAACCCATTGCTCCTTGATTCGATACTGATTGGAATTTGATTGAGCGAATCATTTATACGAAAGTCAGATGATAATAAAAAAAAACAGCGTAATTGATAAGGTTTTTTTTTTTATTTAATTTTTACTACAATTCACCAGATAATATCATCTTTTTCAATTGGTTCTTCTTGACTTTGCCGGAGGGCGTGTATGGAAGTGAAGACAAGAACCTGACTCCAGCTCTCAACCTGTACCTATCCTCGACGCGATTCTCCACGTACTTAATTAAATCCTCTTCGGTTAACTCTTTTCCTGCGTGTAACATCACCAAAGCCATCGGATGATCGCCGTCTCCTCGTTGGGAATTCCGATAACGACGGCTTGAGCGATCTGCGGATGGGCGAGTAAAACTCCTTCGATTTTAGCTGGGGGAATGTGAAAGGCTTGAAATTTGAGCATCTCCTTGATCCTGTCCACTATGTAAAAGCAAAAATCCTCGTCGTAATACGCTATGTCCCCTGTTTTGATCCAACCATCCGCGTCGAAGCTGGAGGTCGTGTCCAAGTTGTAGTAGCCGTTCATTTGACACTTATGCTTGAACCTCAACTCGCCTTGCTTATTGAATCCCAACACCTCTTCAGATTCAGGATCTACAATCTTCAAATTACATCTATTAATAATCTATT